ATCCTTCGTTATATTGATTTTATACAAGGAATATGGTCGAAATGATGGTAAATCGTTCACTCTAGATGCATACTATAAATGATAAAAAAATCATGTCTTCCGAATGTACTATTAAGATTTTATGGAAGAAAAGCTAAAGGTCTTCCGGCCAGACTCATCATCCCCATTTGATTAGTCTATTAATAAGAAGTATATAGGCTCATCTCTGTAAAATGAATATTTTGGTTGTTTTTACAGATGATTCTTGTTCTAATAAGCATTTACATATGGGTGATTCTTTCGAGAACGTACCACGTTTCCATCGACCTTGTCCAAATTGTTCGAGAGTAACGAGACTAGTACAACTTGGGCTCCTGATGACGAATATCACGTTTAAAAAGTTTTAAAACAACTGTATGGTGACCTTCTAGACCTGTGGAAATATAGTACTCATAGCATCAAAGTTCATAATGACAGCGTTCAACAATATACTCATAAAAATGCTTTTACTATCTCGAACTAGAACGTGTCATTAGTGTTTTACGTCCACCTGATTTCACGGATCCAGTACTATGTAGTTTTCAGGTGCTTTATTTAATTGATAAACTTGATCAATCAAACGGCTCCTACGCTCTAAAAAAAATCGTAGAATAAAAAATTAAAAAGGGTTTTTCATTTTGAAACGACACCGAACGCTTTTTTGTATTTTAAAGTGCTCAAAAACCGTGGGAAAAATCCTTAAAGGTTGATCAGTAAACTCAAGTTTATTGATATACCTTAAAGGATTTTTCCCATGGCTTTTGAGCACTTTAAAATACAAAAAAGCGTTCGATATCGTTTCAAAATGAAAAACCCTTTTTAGTTTTTTATTCTACGATTTTTTTTAGAGTGTAGTTATGGCATTGAGTGCCGTGACTAAGAAGATGAATTTTTTAATCAAAGATGATTAGAAAAAAATTTCCAACAAATGCCTTGAAATAAATTGATTGTGCGTTGGTATTTATGACTACTAGCTCAAATACTTGTTGAAGTAAAATCTTAATTAATTTTATTCTGTGGCGTTTTATCTCTAAATACCAGTACTTTTGGTATGACCTAAATATTATCTTACTGTTTTCGTTCGCCAAATGACGGTTTCCAGAAAAACAAAAATAACTTCATCAAAAATTAATCTTTCAAGTTCCGGTTTCTTTGAACTTTGAAGAGAAATGATTACTTTATCAACTCTCAACAATAAAACCTGAATAAACTTCCCCTTCATGATACAGTGTAATATGATTTGAATGAATTTTATCATACATGCTGAGGAAGAGCACCCATGAAAGTACACAAAAACTTAAGCAAATGCGTTTTAATATTTGTGCGACTGATGAAAGAATTTTAGTTTCTCCAAAAAAATTAAATTTTCTACGTTCTCAGAACTTTCGATAATTCCTTGTCCAACTTTCCACCTTTACACGTTTTAATAAAATGTTTGATATATTTTTGTAGAGAATTGGATAGGCTATCATTTGTAGAAAAAAAGAAGCAACAATCGGACTTGAAGAAGAGGAGAAATCAGAAAATACTGAGAGATCAGTTTCTTGTGTCTCACCCGTTATGTTGAATCCATTGCAGCATTGTCTTTTTTTTATGGTTCTCTTTCGAACTACGAAAAAGTTACACCGTACCTCAGCTCATAATCATACAAGGTAAGTGAGAGTTTAAGTAAAAGATTCCGAACGACTTGTAGTTTGGAAACGTTGCGACTTGCTCAGTTCTGCTTTGGATATCATCTTTTGCTAAAAATAAAATGTTTTTCGATGAGATATCTAAAAAAACGTGTAATCGTATAACGTTGGTTCACGATTATTTTTTAGACTAAGATGTTTAGAACAAACTGAAAATATTCACTGACTTTCTGTGTCTACTGTGCGGGCTTATATCGCATGTGTGATAAATGAATAAATAAGACGTACGAAATTAGTCCATGAACTTTTGTTGTGGGAATAATTAATTAGAGAAAACCGATCAATTTATACATTCTAATCATAAATGTATCCTCAATCTAAAAACTATCAGAAGTATCAACTTTCCGGTCTATATGTATCAGCTAACTATTTATTTTATGAAAACAATTTAACAATGATAAAATATGATTAATCGGTCCTCTCATTCTAGATATTTCGTCTCTATGTCTATATTCCTTATTTTCTAAATAAATTTGTTTTATTAAGTTATCACAAACTATACTTTTAGTTACAAAAAAGTTAAAATCTTGCAAACTTGGACTGACTAATACTACGTGTAGTCATCGAAACGAAAGAATGAAAATTCCCAGACGAAAATATCCACTACCGAACCCAATTTGATTTAGAATTTTCTGCAATTCATGATGATTCGTCTTCAAATAAACGCTTAATAAAAAAATCAATCACGGATTCAATGCCATTATCCTTTCACGTATTTATGCGACGCTAACAAACAGAAATGTCTTTTTATTGATACAAAATACATATTTGTCTTTAAATATCATCTCTTTTGTTTCGAGACGAATTAAGTAGGCAAGTACAATTTAAATTCAAATTGATGACAACAGTAACAAAATGTGTGTAGGATTGCAGAAAACTGCATATATATATATTAACATTGTACATTTGAAATTGTACCTATTACAACATTAAAATAAAATAAAACTCAACATACTATCTGAAGGATGTCGTTCAACTTACTCATTGCAGTGATTTGCATTTCATTCATCTACAATCATCATACAATCAGTGCAATGGCTTTGCATAATACTGGTAAGAATCTCTTGCTATGTTCAATTACGTTCTACCTTCATTATTATTATTTCGATATATTCTAAATTCCTTATGAATGATATGTGGTTGCAAATCGATTAACTCTTTTATAAGACTGCTTATAAAATAGTTTAAAAAGTTATAGAAAAATTTTGTATTTTCTAGAATCATCTGTTGAGAATAAAACAGTAAACCATTTAAGCTGGAGTCGATTTCGTCGCCAACCTTCGTCTGATGGTATCGAAACAGCGAGTGCCATTTTGTCTGTTCTTCCACTTGATAAAGTTGGTGCTATTGTTGGTCAAGTAATGTCAACCGGTCTAAAAAATATGTTTAGCCCCGATGCTGGTGGTCGCATTTTAGATATGTTACAAGAACAAGGACCAGGTCTATTGACAGGCCTATTTTCAAATTTATATGGACTATCGAAAACACCAAGCAAACAAGCTAATTATCAACAAGTAATTGATGTTCCTTCAAGTTCAAACCCAACAGCAGCATTGCCTAAATTAAGAAACAGTAGTGTTCCCTTAAATGATGCCTCCAAATCACAAATGAATTCTCTATTATTCAGTTCGTTATTTAAGAAATAATTCTAAACTAATAGGCATTGTATTGTATAATTTAACACGAGGTAATTTCATTAAACTTGTTCATTTTTTTTAATAGGATTATATATTCCTGAGAAGTCAAATGTGTGAGGATTTATAATTCTACGCCTTTGAATATGTGCTACGAATATATTCACTTCAGAACAAAAATAACCACAACTACTTTTTTATGTCAAAGAAATATGGTTTATATAACTATCATTCTATGCTAAAAGAAAAGGAATTGTTCTACATAAACCAAGAAAAACAAGAAGAGCAATGAACAGATAAACAAACGAGAACTAAATATCAGAGCTCCTGTTAGTCCGCCCGGCTAGATCGGCCACAACCGTTCGGTTTTTTTCTCGGACCGGGCGGGTAGCCCCAAAAACTTTTTTAGATCGAACAGGCCAACGTGTTATCAGACCAGCCCGACTCGAGAAATTTTAAAAGCTTCTCCATATTTTCAGTTAAATTTGACTATTTCCTAGTAACAGTAGATGTTACTATTAGCTAGCGAATTTTGTTGTTAAAAAAATACTTCTGTTTTCTTAATTAACTGATATTGCTGCTGAATCAACCTTAGCAAAACTTTTTCTCCGTTTTTACTATAATAAAATTGAATTTAGTCTAAAAAACATTCACAGTGGAGCTCAAGCAAGGCGGACGGGCGTGGATCAATCGTTTGGCATAATGGATCGGGCGGGCTTCGACTTTTTTTGGAGAGATTTGGGCCGTGCCGGGCTGTCAAAAATTTGCCCGATTAGGACCTCTGCCAGATACTGTAAGCAAGAGAAGGAGAAAGGATATAAAATGATCAAACTTGAAAGTCCATGACGGATTTTACGCGACAAAAAGTGTTCATTTTCTTTATCTCTGATAGCCATGCACTTACAATACAGTACAAAAAGAAGTACGAGACAATATTTTGGTCAAAAAATTTTCATTTATAGTTTTCTCCCATTCTTGAAAAAAAATGATAGTAGATGTAATGCTGATATATACAAAAACCAAGGAAGAGGCTGAATATGCAAAAAATTACATGTCCGCCTACAAAACCAAAAATGTTCACTGTGAGACGTGTTTAAATTCAGTTGTCGTTCCCATGCCACTTCTATTTTTTAACGATATCCTGGGGCACACTAAACCAAACTAAAATGAATTGCATTTCATTTTTAAAACCAGTTTTATATCGCTCTGATTTAAAGCATGTTTCTTTTTATTAGATGAATCACATAAAAACGAACTTCTCAGGAACCCTTCGTCGAAAATCGTCACATTAAAAGCTTATTAAATGCATTTTAATTGACCATTAACTGGTCACTAAATACTATCTTTTAGTAATCTGACACAAATTTGCCACCGTTTTTACGCCTTTCAATTGGAAACATATTAACGTCTAATAGTATCAGTTTGATAAGACATCGACAGAAAAATATAGTTCATGTAGAGTCGCAAAAATGTGTTTTATCGTATTCAGCATACTCGATAACCCAGAAGATTTTCTATTTTGGATGAGACCTAATGCCAAAAGAAACTAGTACTATTTTCCCATGTAACTTGTCGGTTAATGTTGATCATTGGAGTCATCATTGACATTAGACCTAGAAGCTGCGCCTATTTCCTTTTCGCAAGTTTCAAAGAATAGAGTCAAGTGAGAGAAAAACGTTTGAGTTTTTATGAAAAAACAATGGAACATATGCAGTAGTTAAAACAAAAAAATAAAAGAGCGGATTACTCATTGACAAACTAATAATGTAGTCTGGTCTCTTTTTTCATATACGTGTGTACTCCAGTCCTCTCCCTTTCAAGAACCGTCTAAAGGACGGTACTGTCTCGTACTTCTTTTTCTACAATATTATAAGTGCATGGCTATCAGAGATAAAGAAAATGAATTCTTTTTGTGGCGTAAAATCCGTCATGAACTTTCAAGTTGATGTTTTTGATGTTTGATCATTTTATATTTTTCTTCCCTCTTACTTACAGTACCTAATTCTCGTTTCTTTATCTGTTCATTGCGCTTCTTGTTTTTCTTGTTTTATATAGAACAATTCCTTTTCTTTTGGTAATGAATGCTAATTATATAAACCACATTTCTTTGACATAAAAAAATAGTTGTAGTTAATCAAAACCTTACCGTGTGCTACCCATAAAATAAATCCAAAACTCAAAAATAATAGGAAATGACAATATAATAACGAAATGTAGACTTTATACCTTCAATCAGTCACACAACCTCTACTGGACATTAAATCTCAAGTGATATTTGGAAATACACGTTGGACAAATCTTCTGTAATATGATGAAAATCGTCGTCTTATCGAAAAACTAATATTTGCATCTTCTACTGTGAGAACTGTGTATAATTAAATGTCTGTCAAATGCTCTCATGATAGTGCGCACGATGAACACATCGCACACTAAAATCAAATGTTTTTGATAGTTGTTTAGTGTTTGCTACCAGAGAGACAAAAAAGAAATGTGACTTCGCAGAACAAGCCTTAAAATTCAGCAAATCAACCTACCAAAAGAATTTTATCTTAAAAGGTAAATTAACGAGTAATTTTAATTTTCGATCTTACGAGTAATATATTCGAAATTCTTTCATTGAAAAGATAACCTAAGCCAATTAACTGAACAACATAAAACAATGAAATCAGTTAATCAAGTTGTGCTTGCATTTTTCTCATGCATAAGTTGAGTAGAGATCTGCACAGATACGGGAATTTCCGTGGTCGCGATCATGCTCATGCTATCCGCAGCCATGGAAAGCATGGACAGGCTCGAAAAAATGGCGAACAGGCATGGGCGAGCAACCGCTCTCTTTTACGGACACGAATTTTTGAAAAAATTTTTGAACAACAAAAAATATGTTTGAAGATATGAATTGTTTGTAATCGAAATATAGATGGTGAGAGACATGCCAAAAAAGGATAATAATACATACATGTGGACGAAAAAAATTTCTTTATACATGTCATATGCAATCAGTTGCAAAAAAAATGCTTTCTTGCTGCGGCACACCAGAGTGAAAGAAATGTCTTTTTGCACCACAGATACGGACGAACACGGACAGTTGGAAAAATCTGTGGATGGGTACGGACAAACAACCCAATCAGGCCCACGAGCATGGACAGTCACGGGCAGAAAAATCTTACCTGTACAGCTTTCTACTAGCCAGGCGTATCACAAATAGGGCTGTAACAGTTATCAGTTACTGTTACCATCATTACTCGGTAACTGTAACTGCTAAAACAGGTACACAAAATCGGTAACGACCAGTTACAAGTAACGGTAACTGTTCAGTATATCTTTTAAGTGTCAAATCTCTAAATATCTAGGTACCTAGTGAGGGTAAGGCTACGAACTTTCACCCTCACCCTAAATACCTAGATATTTAGAGATTTGACACTTAAAAGATATACTGAACAGTTACTGTTACTTGTGACTGATCGTTACCGGTTTTGTAACGGTAATGGTAACTGCCACAGCCCCAATCACAAACAACTTCATCATCACCAACCCTGCTTCATTACCGAGTGTGTTAACTACGGTTACTTCGATATTAGGTAGTGAATGTTCATTTGAAACTTAGACGAACGATATTCGAAGATGTTGATGTTAATTTAGCTCAGTTACCAATCCTTTTGATCGTTGCTAAATATAAAGACGTATACAAAACTAGAGTTGTTATGGCGTCTTGGTCATATGGATTCTGCTACAAAAGTAGTTCATATGGCCAAGACACGATAACAACTCTCGTTTTGTATACTTCTTTCTATCCAACAACGACATAACATAAGTGAATATGAACTAGCTTCACTTGTGACAGTTTTCGCAACCATTAATAATGTATCATTGTTGACACAAATCCAGACAACTGCTTCGGACAACAAATCGAAAAGAAAATGTTTCTTGTCTATTAGTTCACTGAAATTCTTATTTTCTGGATCTCATAAAGAGCATTAAAGTGACTATCTGTGTTTTGTGAAAACTTCTAAGGACAAGCCCAGTTTCAGAAGGAAATGGAAATTTGAGGTTTTAAGAACAAGCTTGCGGGTACACCAAATCTTTTGTACTTCGCATCCCCTGTTCACATCACTGGATTTTGGGTCTATGTGCTGTTTACAACCTTCAAATAGGTGGTTTGCGTTACTGAATTTTTTGTGGTTGGTACCATAATAAAAACCTTAGATACTTCTTAAAATTATCTTACTACTATATTATAAGCTCTTATCCTTTATAATTTTAATAAGACAATCTAAGATCTTACCGTTGAGATCTTCATAAGATTTAATGACTCTCCTTTCATTCACCCTTTTTTTTTGCTTATCTACATAAGTAACACTGAATATATGTGATTTTACGGTTATTTTTCTTCCAGAGTCTGCTAGTACTTGCTAGGGCTGTGACAGTCGTTATATCGTTACAGTAACTGTAACTGCTGAACAGTTACCGTTACAAAACCGGTAACGCCCAATCACAACGGTAACTGTTCAGTATATCTTTTAAGTGTCAAATCTCTAAATATCTAGGTATTTAGGGTGAGGGTGAAAGTTCGTAGCCTTACCCTCACTAGGTGCCTAGATATTTGATACTTGAAAGATATACTGAACAGTTACCGTAGATATACTTATAACTGGTCGTTACCGATTTTGTAACGGTAACTGTTCAGCAGTTACAGTTACTGTAACGGTCTAGGTAACTGCCACAGCCCTAGTACTTGCTCTCTCGAAAGTGTTCAACAACTTTTTCGAGAGAGTACGTGCAGATCAAGGTCCGTGGTTGGACATCTGAAAATATGAAATTGTTCTTCATTCTTCAACTGACTTCAACTGTTGTGCCGAATTCTGAATGAATATTATTTTAAGAAAACGTCGTCGTTCTTAGTATTAAGATCCTAACAGATTCTTACCCAATCATGAAAAAATCTTAGACAATTTAATCTTAGTAAGATCTTAGCAAATCTTAAAATTTTCGGATCTCACGATCTTAGTAAGATTTATCGAAAATCTTGGACAAATGTAAGCGAAATCTTACTAAGATCTTAATAAGATTATTCTAAGACTTTAGTAAGATCAGAGTAAGTTTCTCACTAAGGTATTTACATGACTTAAAAGTTCTTGTTTATACCACTTAAACTTGCTATTTGCATCACTGCATTTTTGTTGTTTATGTTTACAGCACGTAGGTTGTTCTATTTATTTACAAGGTAGCCTCTAGTTTGATGAGTTCGAGGGATATTAGAATGCGATATGTTTTCTTTTCTATTTATTACGAAAGGTTATACAGACAACTATGTCTATAACTCATCCTCTGAGACAGTATGTTTTCACATTTTGCTTCAAAAGAGCCATGCCGACAGGCATTTTTTAATAATATTTGCCTTTAACAAGTCTTAGTGGATTTACCTTGTTTTTTTTATGGAAGAATGCAAGTTTTCACATTCATATGGTAAAGGTCTTTCTGGTAAAGATATAATGCCAGTATGAAATCAGCCTCTTCAATCACTTAAAAACGTGTTGTACAGTCGTCATCTGGGTGAATAATGAGCTCTTTTTCTAAATTATCTACATTAATAGGTGTGGTTGCAACTATGGCATATCTAGGTTTAGCGAACTTGTAAACCAAATCCTAGCTGTAATTGCATATTATTATGGGAGCTCAAGTTAATTCAGTGTACTTCTAAAATTTAGTTTACACTAACAGGTGCAAAAATATACTATATTCTACCAACCAGAAAAATTAGTACACGTTTAACATATTTGTCACTACAATTCCAGATTATTGTTTTTGCTGATCAGGAGGACATACTGGTTTGTAATGTACTTCTTTACATTACAGACAAGTATGAGAACGAATATAATTTCCATGATGACTACCAGTTTCATCATTAAAATAATTAACATTTTTCACGATTTTCATAAACTACACATGGCCAACCTTGCTGTCAATAGAAGATTGATGTAATTTTGTTGATGGAAACGAATAAATAGTGATGGTAGAATTCAATGTTTTCATTTCATTTGATTTTAGTGTGCGATGTGTTCATCGTGCGCACTATCATGAGAGCATAGAGCATTTGACAGACATTTAATTATACACAGTTCTTACAGTAGAAGATGCAAATATTAGTTTTTTGATAAGACGACGATTTTCATCATATTACAGAAGATTTGTCCAACGTGTATTTCCAAATATCACTTGAGATTCAATGTCCAGTAGAGGTTGTGTGACTGATTGAAGATATAAAGTCTACATTTCGTTATTATATTGTCATTTCCTATTATTTTTGAGTTTTGGATTTATTTTATGGGTAGCACACGGTAAGGTCTACTTTACGTTGTAAAATATCTGTTCATTACCTTACTTACAACTGTTCCTTCTATCCAAAAAAAGGCTTCTTATCAAATTTTCTAATTTTCTTCTCGTTGTTCCCTTTTATGGGAATACGGAAAGAGCCTGCGCCTTCGTGAATCGTTAAGCTTTCTCTGATCGTATTGGACGATAAGTTTTCATTATTTCCTTCATTGCAATCAAAAGTGCAGTCGCTTTCTAGAAAGAGAAAAAGCCAGTTTTATGTTCTTTTTTTCTTCTTCTTTACTTAACTGTCGTAATAAAAATGACATAAAGCAAATTTCATGAGTTTTCGAGAACAAAAGTACTCTTATTTCTTCTTTTTCCCTCTAATTCAATCGTGTTTACTAGTTTTTTTTTCTTTCTTTTTTTCGACTACTGCATATATACAGTTTAAATCAGAAAGAAGAAACACTCTATACACAACAGAGTCGAATTAATGCAAATTGTTGACGGTTGTCGGTGTGTTGTGTGCATGTTTGTGTTGATGACGATGGTTTGTTAATATCAGAAAACGAACAAAAGTCTTGTTTTTGCAGTAATCCTAGATGCACAGATATGCCTAGAAGAAAAACTAACAGGCACATTGATAGAAATCCATCAGCGCGGCGCATAAGCATCACATACTATATATACTGATCGAATAAAACGTGAAAACAGGCAAGTAGAAATCACCATGTTGATCCAAACCGAGAAATATGGACCATTCTTTCTAGCATCAGTGAATAAAACTAGTTTTTTTTTAAATTTATCTAATTACTACAGTCTTGAGCCACCCCGACCAAAATCCTATGTTCAGCTGTTTTTGCGTGCTAGTCTTTCAATGACACTATTGTTCGAGTTGTTGTTTCCATGTACTTCTAATTGTCTTTTTGTGCATTTCTATTCTTCTATTTCCTAGTCCGAATACGAAATTTAAGGCATACAACATATAGTCGAATAGACACCTTAGAAAAAGAGAAAGAATATGATCCACAGATAGGCTACAGGAATAATAATTGATCACGAAAGAGAAGAAGAAAGTGGATTTTTAGAGCAATAGCTGAAATTTTTCTTTTTTCCTCCCTCTCGTCATTAAACAAAAAGATATATCTATTCTTCCTTTAAAAAAATAGACTTTGCTGACTTGTTTTTTTCAGTCCACTAGAATGTATGCGTAATCGTCTAATATTTCTAGTTACCAATTGCACCGTAAAAAGAAAAATTGTTAAAAATTATAGAAGAAAAACAAAATTCTAATTTAGAGTGTAAGATCACATAGAAATATCTATGTAAAAAAATAGACATGAAGGAAAAAATAATCAAAGGTTGAAAGAGACGCAAAATAATCTAAAAATATATAAAATTTCTTCGTATTTTTGCGTACAATATGTTTTCTTCTAGGTGATTAGAACTGAAAAGATCAAATAAATGAAGCAGCATTCATATACATGGATATTTTATTACATACATGTAGAAAAAGAAAAAAATAATTTACAGTTTGAAAATGTAATGAGGGAGAGCATCCGAGAGGTAAACCAACTACAATCAGGATCGTATTTTTTATCTGAACGTCATCTTCCCCCTCTTCGTGGGAGAAAAAATGTCGCCAATGTACATTATGTATCGATGTTAAATCCGAAGTCTCTTGGGTTCAAAAATTTTGTTTTCATAAAACATATTAACAGATTTAAAATTTTTTTAATTTTAATTAGTTAAAATATTAAAGTTAAAAGAAAGCTGTTATTTTCACACAACAGTTAGAATATTCACTTTCAACATTTTTAGTTTCCGTATACGAACGATACTTTTGTTGTTATGAATTAAATAATTTTTTTTCCTTCACATCTAAAAATGATCTTTAGTAGATCAAAAGCTATACATTCTAAATTTATTTGCAATATTCTCACTAGAATAAATTAGATGATAAAAAATAAAAAATCTTTAGTAACTAAAATTTTCTATGTAGTTTGACGACAGTTGGTATTACTACAATTTCATATTTTAACGCCTTAGACATTTTATTGATCACGATCAGATGCAGATCAGATTTACAAAAATTTAAAACAAAGTCTACCTAGAAACTGACATTATAGTTAATATTAACCAGAAATCTCCTATACGTACGAAGTCTTATACAATATCATTAATCTAGACAACTATTATTCTTACTTTTTTCTTCTAATAATTCTCATCGTGTTTAATAAATGTAAAAATTTTATATTTTAGATCGATTTTCTTCTACAAAACATAGTTAGGCAGTTTGAATATGGAAAAAAGCCATTTAGCTCAACAAAATTGTAAGTTCAAATTTAATCTAATCATTATATTTGAACAAGATAGATATAAAACAAAGCGCATACTTTCCAGTGAAGTAAAAGAAATTCCATCCCGTTTCAGATATACTTAGGCAAACACAAAAATGTCAGCAGTAACAAAGAAAAATCTAACTTTGCGTATACATTTATTTTATGTTTAACCAATGATATACTTTTTTCTCGTTTTAGCGTTTATATTTAGAATATTACCGACACGGTAGAGCCAAACAAAAAATACAAAACGACACAAATGTTACAGAAATCCATCACGATTACTTTTGCAGAACAATAAAAAAGCAGTTTATTGTGTTCAAAACTAAATAGAGAGTTTTCAGATTCTATGTCTAGAACACACCAGACGAATGGCGAAAGAAAGCGAAGTAGGTTTTATCCAATATTCGTGACACTTATTGGTACAAGACTTCACACTGATCTATAAAAACATCAGATGTGGTTCTTTTCTAGAGAAAACCGATTTATGAACAGCCAATAGAAAAAAGAACAACTTCCTCTTTCATTTCAACAAAAAAAAGTTCTTTATTCATTTGTCGGAGTTAATAGAACATTTTTTATAGAGATGTCGATAGTAGTTCCAAGCTGTGTATAAATTGGCAACTAAATTATATCAATTCAAACATTTACATTGTTCTCGTTTTTTGTGCTCTAAATTTTATCAACATACAATCGTCTTAGCTTGTTCCGTTTGGGACTATACAGAATTGATGGCAGCTTTCCAATATATTTCAGTCCGCTTTACGAGAACAAAAAAGGATAAAATGAGAATAATGTAGCTGTATGATTTCGTTATTCTATCGTTTACTGTGCATAGTGCATTGTAATAAAGTTGAGTTTCATTCAAAACACTAATTCTCTATCTCGTTCTTCTCTAAATTATATTTTTCTTTTATTCATTTCTGTTTAGAAAAATTTCTCTCGCCGTCTACATCCTCAACAACAGAACAGTGTTTGCTGTAATAATGACAAGCCACTCTGTGTATGACGATGGATGTGTACTTATATCAATTCCCTACTATCCTCTATGTAGTTGTCTGCCGTCAACCTATAGTAAAATAGCGATTGGACGAAAAATGTAAAAGAAAAATAAGAATAGAGAAGAAATGAAGAATGAATGTGTATATGTGTGTATATGATGTTCTCATTATGTTTTATGTGCCAAAGCGGACCTATATATAGTCGAAAGGCAATCGCAGTCACAACGCAACGATTCTATATTCTGCTATTCATTGAAGAACGAACAGACTCACACACGGATACACACAGAAGTCAGTGTTGGTGAAAGAGACTATCACATAGATTGACATTGGCTACTAAGAAGACGAAGAACATCATATTATTTCTTGCTTATATAGTGTGTTGATTTGAAAGAAAAAGTAGAATCTTACATTTATATACACGATTAAAACAAATTACAAAAATTCATCCAAAAATTATAAACGGTGATATGGCTGATGCAACAGATGCTGTTCCTCCATCGTCGAAAGGTATGTAAATCTACCGCAGATATTGACTAAAACCTGTACCATACGGCTTGTCTCCTTCGATAAGTTAGTATCCAATAACTCTTTCTTCTCAGCAAAAGCTTTCGCTAAAAAATTACTAGTCTTTTCTTGTGTTGAATGTTATTTGACAAAAGAGAACATGTCTTGTTATTGGGTTTTTTCTCCTATTTTCAATTTCCTGTTGATATACGAAGAATCAGTAACACAATATCGAAGTTATTGTTCGTGTTATAGGTACCAAACGAGAAGCAGAAGAAGACAGTCCTACAAAATTAAAGTCATTGAAAGCATCACAGCATGCCGTAGTGAAAAATGGTGAGTCTGGTGAAAAAACGACGAAAAATGGCAATGTGAATCCAAACGAAGATGACGAAGAAGAGGTAAATAATTGAAGTTAATTATTATTAAGTACAGTCTGGAAGTGAATTTACTTTAGCAGATATTATGCTAAAAGGCCAAATGCATTCCTATATGTGAACGCTGAAATGAAAAATGTTGCTAATGAAAAAAAACGCTACATCATAATTCGGAAAATTAACTGCTGAAGTTCAAAATCCAGTTCATTTTGCTTTTTTTAGGTTGTTGGACGCGAGGAAAATGGCTCGGAGGATGAGGAAGATGATGAAGAATATGAAGGGGAGGAAGATGAAGAGGTTTGTTATTACCAAATATCAAGTTTGAATAGTAGCGTAAGCGTTTTCACTATTTCAGGAGGATGACGGTGAAGAAGATTCAAGACAAGAGCAAGCACAACAAGTTGTAAGATCTGCTAGAGGACGAGGAGCTGCAAATGAAGGTAAAATTTTAATATAAAGTTAAACCAGCTAGTTTACCTATTCATTATTTTGAATTTTAGAACAAGAAGCTGGAGGGTCTGGAGAAGATGAGCCAAGTGGGGAAGAAGATGAGGATGATGAAGAAGTATAAAAATTCAACATTAAGATTACAACAAAACTGTCAAATACCAGATATTATTGTGGTTTTCGTTTTACTTGTTGTATTTTAAGTATGTACATGATCTGCTGTTACAAAAAGCAAATTTTCCAATAAGACAATTTTCAAATTATAGAAATAGAACGGCAGAATAAAACCATTATGTTGATCTTTTATAGAGCCGTGTATGTGATGAGACATTTTTTTGTATTGTGTATATTTTCATAGTCAATTATGGTGTGTGCGTGTGAATATTGTATAAAGTCAATTTTTTTCTCTTTCTCTGCTTACAAAACAAAACAAAACATCGTTGTGTGCCACATCCTTTATATTTTTTTGTGTTTATGTGTGAGTTTGTTTTGTATCTTGTGTCCAAGAAATTTATTAAATTTTTGCATTGCGTATGGGTTTGTTTCTTTTTGTATTATCGTCAAAGATCATAAAAATTGGGTATAACTCAACGCATGCACAATCATTTATATTTTGTTTCATTTTTTTCTGTGGTTATTGTTGATCTATAAATATATTGAACAACAGATATGTGGACGAAAATACAAATCTCTCATTTAACAGCAGATTATTAACGGATTGGTGAAATATAATTTGATTATAACAATTCAAACTAGAATTTTCATTCATTACTGGCAAAAACATTTTCGTTGCTGTGAAATGATCAAACATTTGGCTAGGTTGTTTAGTTCAGAACATTTCTTAACTTTAGTTGTCTCTGATGTCACATTATATGTGGTGTGAATAAAAAATTAGAGGAAAGTTTGCGGATAGTCGGTTATAACTCGGCTCACGTAGTAACACAACAGGCTTACTACAGGTAAACAACTAGTGTATTGAGTATAGTATATAAGGATAAAAGTGTCCAAAATACAGTACATAAATTGCTATCAAGAAAACATCGAAAAACTTTTATTAATATTAAATATCACAGGATCTACATTCTCAATGATAATTCTTTTTTGTCTCAAATGTCCAGTGTACATAGTACATAACATAACTGAATCAAATATTAAATAAAAGATGAGGTGTAGTAAACAAGAAAAATGCAAACATTTGTTTCACAGACAGTAATTAACAAAAAAACTGTATTTCGCTAAAAAAAAACGGAGAATGAGTCAATTAATAGAAAACGAATCAGACACATGTTTCATACAATAGTCCATATTTTCAAGAAATAAAATTATAATTACCATTCAGCTTCTGCATTAAGTAGAAACAAAAATAGGTAAGATCTGACATTAAATGAGACATTACAAGCTGCGATAGACGAATTTTATTCATCGAGGGAGAAACAGTACTAGAATATGAAACGGAATTAGGTTGAACATGAAAGTTAAATGAGGTAGCAGTTCTAACAGATGAGAAACTTCTAGTTGACTAAAGTTGTCTATCAGAACAGAAGTACAAATATATTGCACAATTTTACTTTATTGAATGATACTAATCTGCTATAGACTAGAAAAAACTGAAAACTTGGTTTTAAAAAGAAATCTGAAATAAATTGTTTGATAATTCTTTGCGTTATTTTTCCATCTAGTGTTACGTATATCTGCCTAATTAGAAATTTATTTTTTTTTGCCATTTTTGTATGATATAGATTTTATCTAAAGCCATACAATTTTTGGAAGATTGACTATTGAACGTCGCTAAAAGTTTCGACAAAAAAGAGAATATAAGTTTAAAAACTTTTTTACTTAAATACAATTTTAAAACGATTGTATTTAGACAAAAATAAGTAGCCGAAACAATATGAATAGACGATTAGTAACTCGAAAAATAACTACCGGAATGTCAAAAGGACATTATTCGAAGTAAAATCATTGAAGAAACTTATACTTTTCTTTCATCTACGATTCAAGAGTCAAAACTATGTTAATAAAAATTTTAGATGCTATCTAGCTGAAACGAATTATAAATACAATATAGAAATTGTGTTTTTTGCAAAATCATAGACCTTTGTCACAGTACTGATAGTGTAGATGTATGTAAATGTCAAAATAAACTATCCAATTGCTCATATGTCCAATGAATATTGCAACCTACACAATGGACTGCATACTAATATCATTCATGATTTATCTGTTGTATGTTGCTTTCAAAAACACAAAAAAACATCGAGAAAGCAACATATTTCATACATACACATACAGAAACAAAATGAAACAAAAAAGCGTGCTTTTTTTTAATTCTTGTTATACATTTGAGAAGGAGAAAGTGACACACACATACACAGAGAAAGTGAGAGAAAAACGTTTGTCTGTCTAATAATAGGAGAAAAAAGCGTTTTACATAAAAGAACAATGTCTTGAGAAAGAACAAACACATTGGCTAGATAATAAAGAAAAACAGTTAAAAATGACGATATATTTTCGTTGGAGGAAATGGTGATCGATAATTATCATTATAAAAATGTGGCTGTCGTGGAACATGTGCTCTCTGTTGTTGATGTTGTTGTTGTTGTTGATAATTTGGTTGTACAAAATTCATTAGCGGTGGTGGTGTAGAAAAAGATGTGTAAAAAGGTTGAACTGGTGGAGGAGGTAGAGGTGGCGGAACTGAACGAAACTGAGGAGGTAATGGTGGAGTCTGTTCTAATTTCATCGGATCCGAGATATTATTGATAGTTAAATACGACAAAGTTCTTTGTGGTAATGGTAAAGATGTTAGTTGTTCTTCAGTTTGATCATTATCATCAATATCTTCATTTCCTTCTTGGTCTATCATTTGTATTTGTTTTAATCTTGGATGACCATTTAATGAATAAATTAATTGTCTTATAGAATATGCTGTTCTATCTGTAAGCAAGTTGTTTAATAACGTTAACACGCCTAATATTAAATTCAAATTTGATGATATAACAGATACAGCAGAATTATCGTTCAGTATCGATATTAGAAAATGTAAACTATGTTCCATATTATCATCAACTATTGATTTATCTATTAGATTATGAATATGAAGTAGATGATTGACTAATGACGAAGATGATATTGTTGACGATAATTCTTGTTGAGGTGAAATAGCTGAAATTGTTGTTGTAGTCTTTATTGTAGAAAAGTTACTGTTTTCATCATTGCTATTATTCTCTTCAATACTTGCGTGAATTTGTTCCCCAGTAACTGTCTAAATAAACAGAAAAAAACTAGTGTTATTACCGTTACTCAAAACATCGTACGATGACATGTTGAAAACGCATAAAACACAGCCAGATGTCGCTCATCTATACGTTGAATTTTGAACATAATAATGATAATAAATATGGTAGAATAATTTAAACATAAAAACGTATTTTTATAGATTGTGTATTAAAAAAAGATTCATTAGTTTGCTGTTGGAATATAATAGTGATTGACTTGGTCGAAAATTTTTTAAAAATTGTAAATACTGGTGCCTACTAGGTTCTTGAAAAATACCATCCAATTCTCAAATATTACATTTGGGCATAATATCTCATCAAGTGCAGTTTGAAAAAAAGATCTGTGACTTTTGATTCCAACAGCAAACTAGAAGACTTTTCATTGCGCTGAACATTTATTAAATAAACTAGTAGAAAAAACATTACATAGATAAACATACTTTAAAGTAGAGTATGTAAAAGGGACAAGCTTACCAGACATATTGACTTTCAAAAATCATTTGCAATAATCACTCTCAAAATAGAATGGAAACTGCCTTCTGCCAAAATGTTCATACAGCCTGTGGATAAATGATAGATCTTATTTTGTAAGTCTAACGTTTTATTAAACTAATATTGCATTGAGCAATGCCACAGAAATCATTCCAATTACTAAAAGTCTAATATCATCCGGAAAACTGGATTACAGTATTGACTGAATGACAGTAGTATGTGATATATTTTGATCAATTGATATTCCAGTCTCGGATAAGAATGACATATCGTTCTACAACCTGATCTATATACGAAATCATATTGTATCCATTTTTCCAGATGACGTCATACTTTTAGAGAATATATAACATTGCATCAAGGTAAATCTATCGAGAATATTTTTCTATTTATGTGGTATCCCAAATAGCCCTAAAAGTCAATATGTGTGGCTCAACCCTTTTCAGCTCACATATTTGCCACTTCGTTAGTAGCAGAAGTAGTAGTAGAAGATAGAAGAGAGAATAGGATAACATTTATTAAAACAGAGTTGTAAGAAAAACGAGAACTAAAGCTTGCAAGTGCTGGATTCGGATATTTCATAGTGCAAGCTACCATTCTAATCGAATCAAGTTGAAAAAATCAAACAAAAACAAATGCACAAACGTAAAAATAGTGGTCAGATGATAGTGATAATCACGAATCGTTCTGAATAATAGATTATAATAAGAATAATAAATATACGAATATATTACGTAAAAAAGCGACGAGTTGTTAATAAATAAGTGACGTACGCTACACATTTCATTATTAAAGCATTTTCGATGTGGACATTTTCTTGATAGCAATTTATGTACTGTATTTTGGACACTTTTATCCTTATATACTATACTCAATACACTAGTTGTTTACCTGTAGTAAGCC